CCTCCCCGCCCCTGCATCTCTGCTCATTTGCATTACTGTATTAAAATGATATTGATTTTCACGTAGTATGGCCTTTATGGTTTTATGGCATTTGACATGGCCTCTGGCGAGACCGTCAACGCCGTTGCGTATTCGGTTGGTTAATAGCCACGAAAAATGCATTGGCGCGGCAAGTCATAAACGACACCGATCTAAGCCTAACAGCTATCCTTGTCCAAAGGCTACGCGTCCCCCGTCCCTGACTACGTGCACGTGATGGCGATTGCTTCCAACTTTACAACTACTTGCATTTGAAAGTAATGAAAAGTCATCACGTGTCATGATTTACGATAGAGAGACTCGCAAAACCGTCGTAAGGAAAAGTATGACGGCGAAACGAAGAAAACGCCTTTTGTAACATCGATGTAAAGGTGAAAGGTGATTACCGTACAAACGTTTTAATTTTTGTGCCGTTGGAGGACCCGTAACTCGAATGAGTGCAATAATTGACGTCTTATTAAGTTGCTTGCGAAATTGCATGTTCGAAAACTTTGAATGGCAAAGAATGCGACAGAAGCGTGACATTGTATGGCTGGCTAGTGGTGAACCGGTAACCTCGAATTTGATAATATGCTATGATACACAAACTGTGCTCGATTACTCATCGGTTTACGGTCGCATCGAGGGAGCGGCCGGGGGGCATTGCTATCAGTATTTTGTTTTCACGATTATGCCGAAGGCGTTGTTGTTATTTGTCATCTTCAGCTGAGATGCAATAAAACAAACAGTTCTGTTTATCCTATGAAAATGATTTCCAGCGTGGAAGAGGTGATTCCTCGGAATACTATAACCATTAATTACTTCTACAAGGCTGATACATCCCTCGTCGTAATTATATCACTTATAATAAGTTTAGGTAGGTAGCAAGTCAGGTTTATTGCCAGCGCGGGCAACGAGTACCTGCTTTCCAGCAGTTCCAGCCACTGAGAAGATAGTTATAATTCCTACAGACAAAACATCCAACCAACATGACGTAGGCGTGGCCAGCTTATCCGTGGTCCCCCTATACGACTAGAATCAAGGGGACGGTGCCATGTTATCTCGGTAAAGTAAACATTTTTGCTGTCTTTGCCATATAAATCCGACATCGGTAGTTGAAAGGTGATAGGGCATAACATTTCTGATTTTGGGCCGGTTGCTGAAGTTGCAAATAGGTGGCAGGACTATGGTTTGCTACACACGCTGTAGCGCAGTCAGGCCACAACTGATAGGGAGGGTAATAGGCCGCTTTATATGTACAGATGCCTTGATTTAAAACGTGTGGCAGATTAGTACCAGATTTTAATCTAACATATTCATAACTTTAAATTATGAATTTAATCTCAACCACTCATTACATCGTTTCAAAGTTTGTCATCAAGTTTGTGATGTCACCCTAGCTTTTACCTATCACTTGGGAAGAGGAGTCTGCATTGCACATACGATGTTTCAGCGTCGAAATACGAAGAAACACCTTCATCAAACTCATAGCCCTCAAACAGGCTTGTCACACAGTACCATAGTAGTTAGCCTGACCGATATAAATTGCAATCAAGGGCCCTTTAATCGGGATGTCCGGATATTCAATCGTTGGCGTGACTCGAAATGTCGAATGCGAGACTGTGATGAGATATACGTTGCAAGATCTACCGAAAAACCTACTGTTACAGATTTTATTTCTCTTTATTCCTTGTCCAGTCCTTCTTATCCTTGGCCGTCCTGCTTGTAGATGACTTTTCCGGCCA